TCTCCCCACCCCCATTCTCCCTTCATTTTGGCTCACCGAAATCTGAGTGCCACTTTTCTGGGAAAGCCTGATATTCTGACTTCAGTTTTGTAATTTAATGATGGAGAGTTTCCTTAGTAAACCAAATTTAGAGTCCTAGAATGCTTATCTTATATCCAGACCTTGAACATAAAAGGCATTTTATACCCGCAATTGTTCATTTAATGAGCAATTGCAGAGTGCAGGCCGGTTAAGGGATTGAGCTATATGCACTATTATTGCAAGAAGTATTCCGAAATACCAGAAATAGGACGTAAGCTCTGATCAGGGAGACTGCGAGCACAATTACCTTCTTTTCAAATCCTTCTGTGACACTGCGGGAGGAAAAAGGACTTTGAAACTTGAAAGGAAAGAGCTTGCTTTCAACCTCAAAAGCTAGGAGGAAAGGGCTCTGAAATTTGCTCAGAATTCCCAATTCACCATTAGCCTGTTTCTTCCTTTAGCCTCAAGGCATTCTCCGCTTTTTGAAAAGATGTTAAGAAATTCAGTCACAATAGAGAGCCTAGTTTTGAACATGTTTCACTCGGTCCATTGAGGTCTGGGCTCCAGCCTTTGTGTGGGGTGAATTGAGCTGAGCGGTTAGCTGGTTGGAGAGAGGTGAATGAGGAGTCTCTGTGCAGTCGCAAATTCTGGCAAAGAAAGAAGCTCCCCCCCCTTCCTTTATTTTACAATATGCATTCCTGTAATACCCGGCTAGTGGCAATATGTGGAGTTGAGCCTGTTCTTAAGTCAATACTGAGTACTTGGTTTATAGCAACTCTTGTTAAGTTTGTCTTGTAATTGAAGCTGTTGTTGACCTTGCTTGGGGACCATTTGTAAAACCGTTTATTTAGCATAAACTGAAATAATAAACCCTCCTTCTCCCGGGCTGATTGTGATAGGGTGACATTAGTTTGATTTAATGATTAGCCGCCTGACCCTTCTCCTGGAGAGATCGGCTTGAATAGAGAGAGTTCACTCAGAAGCACTCCGAAAGAATACTAATGAGCTTGTTAAATTTAGCATGGCTCCAACCACTTTTAATTCCTCTAATGGGAGAAGCACTGCACGGGAGTGGGAGAGGGGGAGGCCGGGGGACACCAGAATGTTCCTTAGAGGGTCTGCACAGTCAGAGAAAGCCCACCAAGAGAAGTTTGCAGAAAGTAGCTAGCCAGAGCCTGGGGCCTGAGTTGTAAGTATTGTCTCTTCTCTTACACTCTGTCTTCTGCATCTTGGGGAAAGAAAGGAGTAACGGTGTTAAAATGGGATTTAAGGGAACAGCTTAAAATCCATGTTCATTTTTAAAAAGGTGAATACTTGTACCGTGAGCTCCTTCCTCATCAGCTAATTCTGTGAGGGTGACAGGAGGGGTTCCTAGTGAGTGATGAGCAGCAGGGTTTCATTTTTATGTTGGAAGGAGCCTTTGATACTTTTATCTCCAGTCGTAGGCGAATATACACTTGTTTCCTGGGTCGCAGTGAGAAATCCTCAGGAGTGTGTGAGCAATGCACGGGAGGAGTGTGTGTTCTAGTCCCGCTTCATGCAACAGGATTACTCTCTTCTTAATCTTTGTTGTAAACAGTCTAAGCCGTGTTTGCAATGAAGCAACTTTTGAGTTCTCAGAGTTGATGGCCCTGAGTGTCTGGCCCCATGTCAGTTGCCTTTGGATGCGTTTGGGAAATCTGGGGCAGTTTCTCAGTGTGGTGTTTGGGCAGCTCTCCATTTGGGGCAAGAATCCGTTAACTTCCACTTAAGCACGAGTAGACAGAGAGAAGGAGGTACAAGGTTGGGATTATGGTGACAGTATTTGAAATAATTTTTTCCCCCCAAACTGCATGCTTTGGTGTGACCCCCGAGCATGCAACAGTTTAACACAGAGAAGCCAAACAGCCGCCTGGTATTTGGCTGTTAAAGTCCATTGGCAGATGCTCCTGGAGCAGTGGGCCGTTTGCTTACATTTTTGCAGCCGATGTCTGCTAGTTGCCATGGTGGACGGTATGTTTCTGTCAATAATTTGGCCTGGGGTAGCTGTCTGCACTGGCTCTCAAACTTTATTGAACAACTCGGTTCAACTGAACAAGATTAGAAGCTTTGGTCTTTTGGCTTGCTGAAGTGGTTGCTAAATTTATAAGAGTAGGCAGGAGTATTGCTTGGAAGGCTTCCCTTTCACTGTGGAGAGAGTGCTTTCAAGTCCCGTAGCTGTTTGTATTCTGGAGCGTGTGTACTGTCAAGTTTTCATCTGAATGCCCGTCAGAAGCAACTCAGTGCACGAGGTAAACTTCATGAAATAGTTGTCTACTGGGATATTTTGGAGAGGGAGGGCAGGTAAAAATGTGGTAGCCTTAACTATTATTGTACTAGTAAAAGTAAGTCTAATGAAAGTGTCCACATTAAAAAAATTCGTGCCTGATTTTTTTTTAACTTAAGGGAATTAGTTAATTTTTTTCTGTATTAAATATTTAACTTTGCTTATTTCTTTTTATAACAATATCCACACATGTTGGCTTAACTCTCATGAAGAAAATAATTCATTTTTATAAAGTGAAGTACTTGTGAAAAAAGGATCATTTAGCTAAAAAGACACCCTTATTTTCTCTTCCTCCCACCCCCAACTTCCTTCTCCGAGGAGGCTGGGGGGAGGTGGGAGGACTCTAAACAGACCATGCCAAATTTTCAGTTATTCATGAAGTTGGATTCAAATCCTCATTATAAAGGCATGGCTTCTAAAAGAAACTCCCTCAATTTAGCGGTACAGTTTTAAGAGAAGAAGAGTTCATTTCTTCTAGGAAGAGTAAGTCAAGGGAATCCTGTTTTAAACCTGGAAGAGATTAGTAGGGCTTGGTTATTCATCTTTCCCAGAGAATGCTAATTAGGAGTCTCAGCCCCTCTTGGTAAGGGCTTTCTGGCTTTCTGAATGAAGGTCCATTCTATAGCATTTGCACCTCAGTGTTACAAGTTCAGGTTGAAATTTGAAATAAAGGTTTTATACAGGCAGAAATTAGTGGAAAATATGACTTTGGCCATTTGTAAGTTATAGAAAATTTTATAAAACTGACAGAAGGTTTTAGTGTTTTTGACACCCTTTTGCTTTTACATGAGTGCAAGCCCTTATTCTATAGTTTGCAATTTCACTGCTAACAAAGTACAAGGGTGGAGAGTATTAATCAGAAGGAAAATAAAAATGTAGGATTTTTCTGTAGTTTGTTTTTAAATAAGCAAAAGCATGGTTTGAATTGCTTTTGTAAAGATCAGTGTGTGAAAATGTGGTATTACATCTATTTTTTTAGTAGTTATTTGATAGATTAAACTCTTTATTTATCCCATAATTACAAGGTTTGAGGTGAGGATCTGCACAAAATAATGTTTCACAGTTACCCTGTAGTAGTCAGCAAATTCACTGACAACTAAAGTGTACCTCATGGTTTATACTGTTTCGCCTGTTATTTGCTATACTGAAAAAAATGCATTGCTTATTTTTTAAAGTCCTGGACATAGGCAGAAAGAGTACTGGCTTTAGGTAGTTTAAGTCCTTACTCAACACAAAACAGTAGTCATTGCTTTAGTTTGTATTATCGTGCTTGTCTGTGTTTATAACTATATTTCCTTTGAATTTGTATGAACAACGACGAGACTGCTACAGCATACTATTGCTGGCTTTTAGGGGCTCTCACCTAGACATATTTGCTTTATGAAATACTTTGAAGATAAGTTTATATACTGGGATATGTTCAAAATCTGTCCATGTAAAATTTATTATTATTTACACTCAAATGTAGTTTCTTTTTTGTTGTTGTTTTTCAAATATAGTTTCTTTATTCTTTTTTTTCCCTTTTTTTTTCAGATCAGGAATTTTCAGATTAGGTGCCTAAGCAGTGCCTGAACAACTTTGCTTCCATCAGCACTTGCCTGTCAGAGCACAGTCTGTTGGTTAAATGCAGAGCTTGTTTGGCGTATGTAGTTTCAGAGTATGTGTATGGTTCTAACAGATGAATTGGTTCACTTGTTGTGGGTTCAGATTGCCGGTTTGGTTTCATTTTATGCCTTGTTTCTTTGATCTGCTATTATGGAAAGGTCATCCAATCACATTTGTAGAGAACCATACTGGATAGATGGAAAGTTCTTACAGATAAAAGGAAACCAGAAGCATTAGGGAACTGGGCATCTCATTGGGCTGTTTTTTTTTTACATGTTTAAAGCAATGTCTGGACCCCACCGGAGTATGTACATATCAGCAGAATGGGCGCCTTCCTCACCCCCAGAGCCATCTCACACTTGAACTTTCACCTTCATTCCTTTTTCCTTCTAGTTATCAGCTCTGTTCTATGGTCAGACGTGTCATGCAAGGGGCCCTGGAGGTTTCCAGGATCGCCACCTTTATCCTTTGTAACCAGTGGACTTTCTGCACCATTTCTGGCTCTGTTAAATCTCTCATTGGGTTACAACTCTGACTTAAAAAAACCAAAACACGAGAACGTCTGGATCACTTTCTAACAGGTCATCCTCTGAGGAACCTCAGAGGCTCTTTGACCCCAGGATCACCCAGAGCCTCAGTGTTACCCCAGAGGCCTGGCTTCCAGACAGATGAGGGGAAGCTGTACACCAAGCATGTCAAACTCGCGGCCCGCCCACAGCCCTAGGCTGGCAAAACGTCCAGCTCCAGTGGGACTTGCAGGGGCATTGGCAAGTCCCCAAGGAAGAGGCTCGCTGGCAGATTCAGCTGTGAGCCTGTGATGATAAATTGCTGACTCTCCCTACATCTCAATTTAATTGGCTCATTTCTGGCTCCCCTTCATCCTTCCATTTGTATTGTGGACCCTCATTCACAAGTGATTTTGTCTGAAGGACATCCCATCATGGTGTAGGTTTTCAAAGTTGCCAGAATGAGAAATTGGCTTCTTTTTTGGAGGAAGACCTAAGGGATGACTGTTTCTGAATTGCTCCTTAAAATGGTCACAGAGCTTTTGTGTTCCTTCTTTCTTTAGAGGATGAAAGTCCTGGACAGACCTATCACAGAGAGAGAAGAAACGCGGTCACCATGCAGCCACAGAGCGTCCAGGGGCTTGGCAAGATCAGCGAGGAGCCTGCCACATCTAGTGACGAGAGGGGCTCGCTGATCAAGAAGGAGATCCATGGGTCCCTGCCCCACCTGGCTGAGCCCTCCATCCCATACCGCGGGGCCGTGTTCGCCATGGACCCCAGGAACGGTTACATGGAACCTCACTACCGTAAGTGGGTCCTGCCTCGCGGCATGTGGTCCAGAGCCCTGGGCGGCTTGTGTGTGTGTGTGCGTGCACATGTGCTGTATGAATTATTTGACTTAATGTTGATTTATATAAATGTTTAATTAACTGCCCACGTTTCTTCTCCCATATCCTTTCCGTTCTTTTTTAGGGAGAGTCATTTCCTTATATTCCCTGAGTAACTTCAGTCGTCGGTGGGGTGGCCTTGAGGAAGGTGTCCATCTGTGGCTCACTCACAGGAACCTTTCCTGGGAACTGGCACCTAATTTTCTTTCCCCAAAGCCTCCTAGACTTTGCGGGAGAAAAATTGGTTGATGGGGGAGTTGTTAACGTGGGCTGCATTAGCTGAAATCTTTAACAGCAGCAGTTCCCGTTTTCAATGAATTTTTGCTCAATTGTTGAGAAGGAACCAACCTCTTTCAACAAATCGGTGCAACTTTCCTTAACATAGAAGATTTTTGTACAGGCTCTACTTTGTTCACTGACCAGTCTACCAGAAACATCGGCAGTTCCCTTTCTCAGCACTAATAAAGTGGACTCTGAACACAGATATACAATGGTTTTTCTCCAGAGGCAGACACTATGAAGGAAAATACTGTGCTGAGTTTATATCTGGCCTGTTTCTAGTTAAGAAATAGACTTTGGTTGGGGAGTAATGAAGTTTGCATTGAGGTGCCAAAGCTTGCAGCTCTTGATTACAGATTTATCACCTTGCCAGGATACGGACTTGCCATTTAACCTTCCCGGCTCCAATTCCAGATGATCCATTGAGTTCCAGAGTGGGGGACTGGTTCTTGTTTCCCCTTTTCCACATCATTCAGAAATTTTAGTGTTTTAAGGCAAAAGGTCATTAGCCAGATGACTGATTATTGAGGACAGCTGATTAGTGCATATTTTCTTGCTCAAGAAAGTGCCCAGGATAAAAGCTAATTCTATCCCTTCATTAGTTGACTTGCAGCAGAGGGGGACGGTCCCTCATCAGGGTGCAGATCAAAGGGCCTTGCACAACCTGAAGTTTCAGCAACCGCCCTCCCCCCAATATTGTTGGTAAAGATGGAAGATACATTATTTTTTTAAAAAAATGGAGAGTGGATTTTTAAAAAAGTGGTCAGAAGTGTGGAAGAAAAGGTTTTATGGATTCTTAGAAAGTTCACAACTTCTCAGTGTAAAAAGTGCCTGTCAGTCCTGTTGCTGTGGTTTTTATGTTCACAGCTGCGGGAGTCAGGAGGGGTGGTGTGCATGATCCTGTCCTTCCTTCATTAAAGGGTTATTTAATTTAATTTTATTTTAGAAATAACAGTTTAAAATAGTGTTGGTAGGGTTTTTATCTGAAAGCTTTTAAATGCATTTGAGGGAATCTACATACTTTCTACTTATATTAATTTCCCCTATAGTGTGCTAGATGATTATTATTAAGTCTGGATTGTTAGCCATAAGCTCCTTGCTTTGTTTTCATTCTTATGTGTGAACAAAACTTTTCCCATCCTATACATTTGATGCTTTGTTTTCTGTTCCAGATGCCCTCTAATTAGTGAGGTATTAATTGGTCAGGACAGCTGAGAGAACTTCTTTTTTGGTTGACAGAAGTAGGCAGATGACCGTTAACTTTCTCTGTGCCATTCACCGTGCCGCTTGCTCTTGATCCATTTGTTCTAACCGTTTGCCCATTGAATCCTCTCCCTGTCATTTGAGGGTCCAGGAACTCTGCATACCAGGGCCTCTCATCACCTCTGTGTGGTCTGTGTGTGCACCCCACCTCCCGAGCCTCCAGGGGAATATTAACCAGCATTGGGCACCGGGGAGCTATTGGTGGGCTTGGAACCACTCATTGTCCCTCTGTTTAGAGGGCGTAGCAACAGTAGGTTGGTTATTCTTTAGCTTTCCCCACAGTATTGTTCAAATCACTATTAAAATTACATGATAACTTACAAGCACTTGCTATTTTGACCCACCATTGCAACGTACTCCCTAAATGGGTCATAAATAAATGGTGTCATTACGTCTATAATATGGACAGGAGTCCTAGAGATTACTCAGATTGGCTGAGCACTCAGGGGATTTGAGTTTAAGTTCCAGCTTTGCCACTTACTGGCTGTGTGACTTTGGCCAAGTGTGCTGACGCCTCTAGGAATCATTTCCTAACGGTTGAGTGGGGGTGATATGTGACTGCCTGCCCCATGGTGTTCTCTTGAGAATTACGTGAGCCAGTGCAAATGAAGTATTTAATAAAAGCACTGGCTCATGGTGCCTCAGAAGTATTATGGTAGTTGTCCTGTGGCTCCTCTTCCTCCCTCTTCCTCCCTCTTCCTTTTGTTCCATCACCTTCGTCTTCATCTGTTCATGATGAGTTCATTCTCCAAACCAAGTTATTTTTGTTGGTGCTACAGTTGTGTTTGGTTCAGGGTAGAATGGTAGTTGTCCTGTGGCTCCTCTTCCTCCCTCTTCCTTTTGTTCCATCACCATCGTCTTCATCTGTTCATGATGAGTTCCTTCTCCAAACCAAGTTATATTTGTTGGTGCTACAGTTGTGTTTGGTTCAGGGTAGACTGGCTTTTCCCTGCCAGACCTGTTCACCTGCCTCCCTGAGTTTAGTGTCTCCTGTGAACACAGATTAGAGATGGAGCGGTTGGTTTATAAACCTAGGAAAAGGGTTGGCATGGCCTGAAATTGTGCTCTGTGTCCTTCTGAACATAACCATTCCTCATGCAACTTGAGTAGATTGATTATAATTTTTTCCCTATTTTTTTAAGTAAAGAAGTTTTAAAGCTTTTAAATGCATTTGAGAAGTTTTAACGTTAAATTATCGACAGAAAGTGTTTTATGTAACAAACTTAATACATGTGGAAAACGAAAGGTACAATATTATTTATTTATCGTAAACAATTTAAAGATGTCCTAAACTAAATATCAAAGAGTGAGATAAGATATGACTTTACTTTTTCTAGAACCCTGTTGGCTTATTTAATCTTCTGCTAGTATAAAGAGTATCTTTTAGGTACTTTATAATAAAATCTGTTAGATTTTATCTGGACTGAATTATCCAAGTAAAGCTAATAACTGATGTGATGCTGCTAAAATTGATACATCACATCACATACATCACATCACATCTTCTAAGAAATTTTTAGTGTATGAGAAAAGTACCACCTTTTAAAAATGAGATGTAAGCCCTGGCCAGGTGGCTCAGTTGGTTAGAGTGTATCTTGTACACCAAAAGGTTGCAGGTTCAATTCCTCATCGGGGCACATACCTCGGTTGCGGGTTTGATCCCTGGTTGGGGTGCATACTGGAGGCAACTGATTGATGTTTCCCTCTCCCCTTTCTCTCTCTCCCTTTCTCTTTCTCTAAAAATCAATGAGAACTTATCCTCCGGTGAGGATTAAATAAATTAATTAAATTAAATTCAAATAACATGAGACGTCCAAATTTGATCACGTTTCTTTACCTTGCCGCAGCCCTGTAGCATTGTCAGTAACACAAGTTCATTGCAGACCTTCAGCAACTCAAGGTTCAGAAACACCTTTTCGGGCCACCCCCTTTGCCTTTGAGTCCTGAGCCAGCTCCACCAGTGCTGTGGGAGAGAGAAGACTTCTAACACAGTGTCGCTGGGTATCTGACCACTCACAGTAATTCCTTCATTTCTCTGTGGTTGGAAAATGCAAACTTTCCAAGATGCCTAATTTGTGCTTCTATATATACTAACTTTGTATTTCTAATGTGTGGGCAGGCTTCCTGTAAGACCGGAAAAAGGAACATCATTTTTTCCCCTCAGAAGGACATCTGTAAAATTTTTATTGCACAAGACTTTATTATACTTGGGCATGCAAAGTTGCATCTTCACAAATTGCACTTAGGTAAGATTCAAAGTATTTTAGGTTTTGTGGGTTTGACTTTAAAAAAAAAGGAAAAGAAAACCCAGGGATAGTGGGTACTTCAAACATTTGCAACATATGTTTGGAATAAAATCCCGGTGGGGGCATTGGGGGTTATTCTCTCATGAAGGGAGCTGTGGATGGGCTGTATATCAAGGCCAGAAAGTAGACGTTCAGGCTGCCTGGCTCAGACATGGTGTGGTGCTGACAGGCTCACGGCTGCAGGATCACTGGCGCTTGATAATTGGGGAGAGCATGGGAGGGGGGCCGGATTTGTGGGACCTGACCTGCTTGTGTTGGAATCAGGATAAGGAACCCCATCTCCTTCCCAGGGATTTCTCAGCAGTTGTACTCTGCTTCTGTTCCATCTGTAGCTAGATGTTTCAAATCACCATCGTCCTCTGCTTTCACTTACTGCCATGCATTTATTCTTCTATAAACTTGTGAGGCAGGTGACATAATAGTTAAAGCATTCCCTTACCCTGGGTGACACTTAAGTTTTATTCTCCTCCCTGTTACAGGAAACATGTGTTCCATTGTCTTCTGTCTTAGTCTTACTGGGAAGAGTTGAGTTTTCTAAAAGTCCCTGCAGGGGTCTTTGTGGGGAGTTTCTTGGATTCACTAGTCATGTCCTCTAGGTTCTCTGCTGGTTTTGTTCACGGGGGAAGAAAGATGCTCCCTTTCCTAAAATTTCAGGTCTTTTTTACAGTTTTATAGTTGTGTGAAGACTGTTTCCTTCTGCCCCCAACTGCTCCCAAGCAGTCATTCCTGGAAAATATGATTCATTCTTCCATGCCAGTGCCGTGATTGAAAACATTCCACTGGTATTCTTCCTTATGTTTCCCAGCTCAGATGACAAAACTATTAGTGGCTAATTAGCAAAACCGGAGGAAGGAGCTTAAAGAAAAGAAACTGAATTTTTAATGGCTTGCATTTATTTTCTGTGGAAAGCTGATGTCCTGAGCCCACTTCCATTCTTATGTGCTTAAGGAAAATTCACATGAGATCTGTTCCCCTACCTGTCTGTCTTTATACTAGGTGACTTTCTACACGCCTTACAAATACATCTTCCAGTGAATGGGAGAGAAGATGTGTATTTTACATATTTAATAG